CCCCAACAGTTGAAAGCTTTGGGGTCTCAGCCCAGATAGGCTCCGGGGTGGTCCGGGGCGGCCCTGAGGAAAGATTCCACGAGGGTTCCACCAGAGTTCCACCAGGTTCTGCGAAGACTGCGGGGTGGTCCGGGGTGGTTTGAGGTAAGGTTCTACGAGGGTTCCATCAATGTTCCACCAGGTTCTACGAGGGCTGCGGGGTCGTCGGGGTGGTTTGAGGCAAGGTTCTATTAGGGTTCCACCAGGTTCTGCGAGGGCTGCGGGTGGTTTGAGGTAAGGTTCCACAAGACGAGGGTTCTACGAGAGTTCCACCGTTCTGCGAGGGTTGCGGGGTGGTCCGGGATGGTTTGAGGTAAAGTTCTACGTTTGCGAGGGCGATGGGGTGCTCCAGGGCTGGTTTGAACTAAGGTTCTAGGAAGGTTCCACCAGGGTTCTGCAAGGGCTGCGGGATTGTCTGGTGGTTTGAGGTAAGGTTCTACGAGGCATCTACGAGGGTTCCACCAACGTTCCACCGGGTTTTGCGAGGGTTGCGGGGAGGATCTATCAGGCTTCTACTGGGTTTTGCGAGGGTTATGGGATGGTCTGGGTGGTTTGGGGTAAGGTTCTATAAGGGTTTTACTGGAGGTTTTATGAGGGTTGTGGGGAGTCTGGGGTAAGGTTTTACGAGGGTTCTATTAGGGTGTTACCAAGTTTTGCGAGCTATAAGGGTGGGGGGGGTTCGGGGTGGTTTGAGGTTAGGTGTTATTGGGGTTTTATTAGGGTTTTATTAGGCAATACTAGGGTTTTACTAGGTTTAACGGAAGAAGTTACGAGGGTTCGACCGATTAGGTTTTATTAAAGTTTTGCTAGGTTTTGTAAGGCTGGTTTGAAAAAAACGAAATTAATGATTTGTAGCACATTTTTATTCTCCAAATAATGTGTCTATATTAAGAGAAAAGATTTTGATGTTAGATTGAGATGTTCGCTCTATTTGCGAGCGTTTTGCGTGGTATTTACCGTAGATTCGTGCGCTTGTTTGATGTCGAAATGCGTTTCGATTGCATAGGCTCGCACAAAGTGAGGTGTTGATTTCTGTTCGTGAGCGTTTTGCATGGTATATATCGTAGATTCGTGTTTTTGCTTGATGTCGAAATGTATTTCGATTGCATAGACTCGTACAAAGTGAGATATCGACTTCCAAAGCTTTCAACTGTTGGGGTAATTCTAACATTGTATATATAGTAAGTATTTCTAATTCCGTTAAAATTTTTGAGGTGGTTTTATAAGTGAGTATTAGTCTTTATATTTAATTGGCAAAAGGAAAGTCTTACAAATTGATACCTTGGCTCTAGCTCCTACTTTGCCTCCAAAACTCGATGCCTGACCAATAATAATCCTTTGGCATGGAAGACGTCTTTGCTTGTTTTTTATGACTCCTGCTTTATGAGTAGACACCGCTATGTTGCAATCAACGATTGTTTGTTATTGGTTATTTTGCTTGCATTCTATAAAAGGCAATTCCAATATGGCGGTGTCCGCATATTCGGCGGTTCCGTATTTCACCATGTTCACGCCATTTTTGATTGCATAATACGTATAACCATCTCCTACGTCACAAGGCCCGCATACGGCAGCACGCAGATTTGCCTTTTCCTTGCAGCATCATTGGTAGAGGCCGTCCCACCGTTCCGTATGGTATGTTATAAACGTCTGTCGCGTTAGTCTGACAGCAAAAATTTCAAATAAGGACTATGATTATGTAAATGAAATATTTCCTTCAATAGATATTATTTAAAAATATTGGGATAATTCTTGTTTTGAGCGCTTTTCCTCATGTCTTTTCAATTGTGCCTTGGGGATATATTGCACTTATGAAAGTTTATGTTTATGCATTAATTCAAGAAAAGAAGAACAAAATGGTATAGTATCTAGGGTAAACAAAATTATGTTGAATTATATTCCGCATTATCTATGTTTTTTTAAAGATCCTTTTCTTTTTGATTCAAGAATTATTTTTAAAAAATGCATTTGGAAAAAAATAAATATATAAATTTATTGAGTTTTTACAATGATTATCATCATAATCTGTACATAAATTATTTTGAGTGTGTATGTTGAAATAAATTGTATTCTTTGTTTTTTGGGAATGTAATAAAAAAGAAGGAAGAAATGAATTAAATGGATATGATTTTTGAATATATATATATATATATATTTGTGATGTGGTTTTTATATCTTAAAAATTATTGTTGTAGTTTTTGTTATTTTTGTATTTATATTATTTGTTTTTTTAATATTTAATAACGAATAGAATTAAAATATGATTTGATTTTGTTTATAGAATTTACTAGATTTAGAGGAATCCTATTCATTAGGAGCATCGCGGGATGGCCCTCAGTTCCTGCATGGCCGGGGAAGTGAATAGATTGGATGATGAAGCAAGGGTGGTTAACAATAAATCTCAGAACAAAAAGGGGGCATACTGGTGGTTGCAAGCAAATTTATCAAGACGATTGAAAAAGCAATCGATGACAAGTTCTACCAAATGCCACGGTCAACATAATGTGAAAGTTTGCCCATCCTGACGGTGGAAGCAGGAAATCTTGTGTTTTTCGAGCCTTTCTACCTGGCGGTGAATAAACCCCGACTCATATGCGATCCATTCCCAAAAAACCCGCCAGTCAAAAAGGCCTTCTTCTAGGTCCTCCAGTAGATAGTTTCTAGTTTTTTGTGGTGTTATAATTTAACAATTGGAGGTATTGTGATATTGTTTGTTCTTGTTTTATTAAATATAATTTGTTTTTTATTTATTTGTTTTTGAAATATTTGGGAAAAAAAAAAAAAACAATTTGGATTTTTTTATCTATGTATAATTGAAGCTAATACAACATATATATTTTGTGTTACGGCTCATTGAAAATTTGCTCCCAAAGACAAATAACAGAGAAGGAATTGCAAAAAAGCTGCGCGTGCGTGAGGCAGGGAAAGAGAAAATCGCAAAAAGTGTGGCTGAGAAAGTTGCACAAAACGTGAACTGGTCGGAGCGGTTTTGGAAGGGGGGTCCATTAGTGCGGCAACGCAGAGGTAAGGTTTGAATTGAATTGCGTGGCAGGCGCAGTATTTTAGTGAGGAGGGGTGCAGATTTTGTGGCAGACGTAGTATTTTTTTCTGAAGAATTAATTGTCTAGCAGCACTTTCCAAAGCTCAGGTGCAGACTTTGTGGCAAACGCAGCACTTTCGCAAGGTCAAGTGCCAAATTCGTGGCAGGCGCAGCACTTTCGCAAGGTCAAGTACAGATTTCGTGGCAGGCGCAGCACTTTTGCAACATCTGCCAAATTCGTGGCAGGCGCAGCACTTTCGCAAGAGGTCATATATGGAAATGATATATGAAATCCAATCGCAATTTGTAAATTCAAAAATAATATGATATATAAAATCAATTTTCGGAACTTCAAAATTACAAGCTTTAAATACAAATATTAACAGAATAATATATTCATCGATCGATTAATTATAGAAATAACTAAAGAAATAAATAAATAAAGAAAAAGATAAAGAAAGAAAAATAAAAATAAAATACATAAATAAATAGATAAAAACAGGACCAAACAAAATATATAAATATGTTTATCAAGATTTAAAAATAGAATAATATAAAAATATGAAACCATAAATCATC